CAATCATCTGAACTAATTTCTAGTTTGTGCATTTGGGCTCGCAGCCTTCAATGATCTGTGAGAAGACCTGCTACATACATAAATATCTTAAGTTTGTCTTTGGGAGAGCGATTAGGTTCCTAAATCTCTTGGCTTTACTAGACTATCAGCCTCTTCGTTATCCTGCGTGTCTTAATGGCACAGGCGCCGAATCAGTTGTACTCTGCACTGCACATCAATGATTCTCCTGGCAGTCTTCTGTACAACATCAAATCTAGATTGGCGTTTGTGAAATTTTGGTGTCAAAGATAAGGGTGAGAAATTCACGTCTACCTCACTATTCCTCGTATGATATTTGTGCATAGGAAATATCTAAAAACCCGAAGATTTCGAATTTCAAAATGAAGAGAATTTTACTGATTTTTATACATGATTTTTTCATTTCCGGTCTCTATAAGATTCGACATACACGGTGCGTTTGACTCGCGAGCCGGTTTGGATGTGTTAGGGAAAATAAATATGAGTTAGTTACAACGACATAACTCTGGCGTGACTCTAAAGGACTCAACTGTGTATAGTCGAAAGGCGAGTCAACACGTGCACAGATGGCTCGAGAGTCAGACGCACCGTCTACGGGGCCTATAAAGTTTCAGTTGCGCTCGTATGTTCTAAAAAAATTATTTTCAGTGTAAATTCAATAGGAAATCAATCTCTCAGATGTGCTGCAGTGCAAAACGAACTAATGCTAAGAAGGGGAAGGAAAATTAAATTTTAAAACAGCCATAAGTGAAAGTAAAAGTTAAAAATAAATACGAACAACAACAGCAAACGAAATACATATGTATATAATACCTAGCAATTCACTTGAATAAAGCGACGAAAAAATTTACTAAAAACCAAACCTTGTTTTCACTTAAAAAATAGACACACAAACACACTTACACTTTTTAGAAGAACATAACCTAAAAAAAATCTTTTTTTAAATACATACATATGGACATTATCTGTTCATTAGGGTGCCTCACCAAAATAAGTTGCGGTTTTTAGGGCTACGGCGCATCACTCTCGATAGAAAAAACAAATATGTCACTGTTTTTCCGCCGAAATTATAAAAATGAAAATGGATTATACAGGCAGGTTTTGAAATTCACTTCCGAGTGAATTTCAGCCACTGTCAATTTGCATTCAAAGCGAATTAGATTGAAATTCACTCGGAAGTGAATTGCAGAACCTGCCTGATAGTTTAGGACTTTCGCTAAAGTATTACAAAAAAATATTAAGATTTGCATGAGCGGGACCGTTTTGAATATACCTTCAAAAATCGTATTATTATGATTTCGTTCATACAATTTTAAATATTATTTTGCAGACCTTTTAAGCTTGCACTCTACTATCATCTGAGGTGATTTTTTGGAAAAAAAAAATATTTTTAAAAACAAATAGCCTTAATCATAGAAAATAAAAGAGGGTTTAAAAGCTTTATAAACTTCTATTTTGATACAAATTTTCGATTTATAAAAAGCCGTGAATTTTGAATGTAATTTTATTTACATATAAAAACTTGATTTTTGGAAGTACATATGTACATATTTTCAAATTGGTGCAGCTCACGTTACTCTTAGTATAGGGTAATCCATCTAGACCTTTTTTTAATTTTTAAATAAAACACTTAAAAACGAACTGGATGTCGGAATCTTTATTATTTACCGAAAGAACTTGTTAAAAATAATTTCATTCAAATGTTGGCGGCGACTACGCTGTAGGTGGACCATTCGGAAGGTACAATTTTCGATTATCCTTTCCAGCATTGCTACCGGTCTCTCGCAAACTACGCGAATAATGTTGACTTCCAACTTTTGAATCGTAGCTGGCTTATCGGCGAAGACTTTTGACTTTACATAGCCCACAAAAAAATAATCCAGAGGCGTGATATAATACGATCACCCGATATTTGGCAACGTTGGTGATCGATGATGCACACCATATCGATACCTGAGTGGAAGATCGACCTATCTCGGCAGCCAGTTCGAAAACGCCCTATCTCAGAAAACGTTTCATCTTTAATAAAAATAAGATGACAGTACGACACTAGCCATGCGCGAGATTTGAAAAAAAGCGAGTGAAAAAAGTCTAAATGGATCAACCAACCTATATAATTTCGAAATATTTCTGTGGAAGTACCGATTTTTTTTTTTTTGTAGGTAGAGTGATGCACCCTAATGTAGGTACATAATGGGATAGAAAAACAAAAATATTTATTTTCAGTGCAGTGATGATGCTAAACTAGCAAGAAAATTATATACACACGGGTATATGTATGTTCATATGTAGTACATTTTTACTAACAAAAACTATTTGTTGTATTTGCAAATGTTATACTGCAACGTAGCTTCTATTTTAAATCTATTTTTCGTAGTGCCAAGCAATTAGTTATAGGATTGTTTATAAACAAACACAAATGCACACACACACTTGCATATTGAATTAGTTTAATTTAGTGTTATTATTGATATGAGTACATAAGTTAAATTTGTTTTGTTGTTATTTTCTATACATATTACGTAGACATATATATGTACATTAGCGTGTGCCGAAAATCCGCTTTTTTAGAATTTTGTTTGGTAATAGCAAAAATATGGTTCATTGTGCTCTAAAAACAATCTTTGTCAAAGATGACATGTTTTGGTCCATATCTTGGCTCGCCCAAGTCCCATCAAAGTTCAAGTGCTAAAAAAATTTACCTTTGCTTACTTCGATCCTCTTCAAAAAATGTTCATATACCAAATTATTTAGGACTAATACTTTCGGAGATAATTGCAATTTTAGTAAAAGAAAAAGTATTAATTAATTTTTATTTTTTGACCAAAAATTGTCATCTTTCACAAAGATTGTTTTTAGAGCATAATGAACCATCTTTTTGCCATTACCAAACAAAATTCTGGAAAACCGATTTACGGCCCACGCTAATGTACATACATAAATTAATACATAATCAAACACTTATACATATTTACATACGTGTATTTCCACGTGCAGTGCATGCATGTATTCCCTACTATTTTGTCACTTAGATAATTTATACATTTTTGCTCTAAACCTTTGTAATTAGATTAGAATTAATTTTTAAAAACCATCCACTTTTCAACCAGCCGAGCTTTCGTATTTTGCGGTTGTAAGCCATTAAGAAAAGTTGCTTATCAAATTTCGTGTATTATTGTTGTTTTACACTCTCCTTAGAAATTATTTAGTTTTGCACATCAGAAAATCTTTGTTGGCCATTTTCTTTTATACAACTTTTTAATTATACATTGCCTGTGCAGAAAATTATGTAATTTACTTTTTTTTAATAAATTGGTTGCCTACAACCTTTTTTTGTATAAGCAATAATGAAATTGTCTTGTCTTATTTTATTCCCTTTGGTCGTTTGTAAGTGTTAAATGTTGTTTTTTGTAGTGATTTCTTTTATATTTAAAAGTAACTATATCTGTAATACTTTTTAAAACAATACTAAACCATCCGTCAAAAACTTTAAAACAACAAAAATTATTCTATAGGCAACTAGCAAACCCGGCACCCTTTGCTGCGGCTCAGTCTGATATGAAATTAATGGAAAAGTGAACTTAGCGACTTATCTCAGCTGCCGATTCAAAAACGTCCTATATCAACATTATTTTCTGCGACCGAGAACGCGTTTTAGTTTTGGTTTAGTTCTGCATGAGAGCAAAAAGTAATGTCAAGAACATTCCCACAAAATAACCAAATGGGAACAAAAGTATTGAGAGCTGTTTAAACGAGAACAAATTGAGTACAAAAGGTTCGGAAACGTTTCCGTAAAGAACAAAATGCGAACAAAACTATCGGTAACGTTCTAAAGAAGAACAGAATGAGAACGAAACTTTCGGCAATGTTCCCAATATAAACAAAATGAGAACAAAAGTATCGAGAATGTTCTCAAGGATGATCAAATAAGAGTCTGGGGAACATTCTGCTAGAGAACAAAAGTTGATTCTCAAACGTGAAGAATGAGTGCGGCGTCTGCATGTTGGGATGAAAAATTGTTTCAGTGAGAACCACGTTTGTTAATTCTAAGCCATTGGAAATCTGGATCATTTAAAACTTCCAGATCGTTTATCATTACGGTGAACTGTCCATTTATGGAACGATTTTCAATTTTCTATGCAAGGAAAGTTCGCATCTTAAATCTTTCGTTGCCTTAATTTTCATAATTATCTTTCAGTTCTTTTTTGTTAATTTTAATATTCAAACATTTCTAACTAATGAACGCTACGAGAAAAACTTAGTTCTTGCTTCCATTTTTCGCGAATAGTTCAGAGAAGATTTGTTCCCGTTTCGTTATCTGTCAGAAAGCTCCTGAGATTTTAGTTCCGAAATTGTTCTTCGAGAGAAGGTTCCTTCGACTTTTGTTCCCGTATTGTTCTTTGCCAAAACGTTCCGGAGACTTTTGTTCCCATTTTGTTCTCTTAGAAATGTTCCCGAAAGTATTGTTCGCATTTTGCTCTCTTTGGGAACGTTCCACAGGGGTTTGTTCTTGTATAATTTCCATTGAGAACGTTTTCGGCAGTTTTGTTCTCATTTCAGTTTTGATCTTGAAGCGTTCTTGAGAACAAAACTATGAGAACATTTAGTTTCGAGATATGACCTTTCATTATAAGTTAACGATATGTAAATCACTTTGTGTGTCAGTGGTTTGAATAAGAAATGATGTCGAATGAAGAGGCATTGGGCATCATGTATAAAATGTGAACTTAAGCTCAGAGTCGATTCTCAGTACAAATTCTTGAGCTTGAGCTCACTTCATTAGAGCATATTTTTATGCAAAAGCCCCATTGTCCTTTTGTTTGTAAAGATGGGAGAGCGAATTATAGCAATTGTTCTTGTTTTGGCGACACATTAACCTAAATTGACTGCTTTTAAGAATAAAGACAACGCCACCATAACTTACGCAATCATTTCATTTCCATACGTATATGTTTTTGTATTAAAATAAAAATATACACATATTCATATATACAAATGTATGTTTATAATATCGAAAAGAGTAACAAAATACAACTGGATGTTGATACAAAAGGATAAGTTTCGCCATTTACCAATAACATTTGAGGGAGAAATAACAATTAAATACTACCAATCGAAACCTCTATACATTTTCCAGTTGCCACGTTACCGCTCGCGCAGAAAAGGAAAAACCCGCTGCAATTCCGCTTTCGATTTGCATGCATCCAATTGTGGCAATGTCTCCACAACATTTAACAAATAAATCTGCAATTGCTGACGACGCTCCTCTACAAATGCCAAGTTCATATTACCAAAATGTTTTTTGGGTGGGAATTCAACTGACGACACGGATGGATGCGTATGTAACAGTGATTTATGCAATTTATGGAAGTCCCTATAGCGTCGCAGCACTGACCAATGCTCCAAGTTTTGACGCATTGTAATGTGTATCTCGTATGCGTAATACGATGTACCGTGCTTTGTTTTCTTCAATTCTGCCGTTGGAATGGTAATGAGAAAATTGGTAGCCAGTGAAGCTGAGGGGTCAATGGCAAGCCCATTGAAGTTTTGTGTTAAGCGCCGGACAAGTTGACGGTTCTCACGTGTGAGCTGTGCTACCCGTGTCTCTAATAGCGTGCAACGTTCTTCCATTTCACGTAAACGCTCTTCCATCGCTGCATGATTAACAGTGCAATTTGCGGAAGACGATTTACTATATTGCGATGAGGTGTCACTCTTATCTTCATACTCGTGCTCGCCCACTGTGGTGGTTTTATCACTAACACCGTTTTGATCTACTGAGGTAGTGTCATCAGCTGTAGACTCCTGTTGACCGCTTTGAGTTTCTGCTGACGTATAAATATCAGGTAAGGGCTCTTTAAGGAATTCCAATTCCGGCTCGATCGGATCTGGTGGTGTGGTTTCTACTTCTTCTTGTACAGGTAGCTCTACCATAGCCTCAAAAGTATCTAAGGAAGATTTTTGAATTTCCAACTTAGTTACCTCATTAATAGCTTTTATTAAATCCTCTGTGGAGTTGGCAGTGGCAATAGGACGTTCTACCGGATGGGATTTGCGTTTATTTTTACCTAAACCAGCAGGTAAAGGTGTAGGCGCGTATATAACCGGCTCTTCTTTATGGGGCAACAACGGTGTAATACGTGTTGGCGCATTCAATTCCGTGGAATTTACCGTCAATGCGAAAAGCACATCATGTAACGAGCCTATTATTTGTGGCAACTCTTTGCTAGCAGTGGCGTCCAATAACAGAGACCATTGTGTATAGTATTGACGCAAATCTTCTACTGCGTCTAGCCATGTTAGAAGATATCGCTGTAGCGAATTCTCGTTAAGCGTTGCGCGTATAAAGGCCTTGCCAAGTCCGCACTTTGTCCAAATATGTTTGAGTGTCAGGTATCGTTCGCGCTCATGTGCAGTCAAATGTATTTGACAAAAATCCCAAAATGTGACATCACCGCTATTATCGTTTAAAGTGGAGCTGCTTCCTGTAAATAAAAAGATTTAAATAAAATATAGGTTAATAAATATTCTACGTTACCCGTCACAATCTCGTGCATGTTTTGGAATAAACTAGCTGCAGTTAGCGCAACCACTGAATGCTGTTGCTTCAACCCATATGAAAATGCATCCTCTAAAGCCTCACACAATTCTGCCACATTGTCATCGTTTTCCGTGGCTAATTCTTTGCGTCCACTATAATGCTGCCTACACTTTTCTGCGCTCTGTTGAAGGCGTTTAAATATGTCTTCCCTGCGTTGCCAAAAAGTGCTTCCGCCAAACGATGGGCCAGCTACACTCAATTTTGGTGGTTGCAGGGAAACACGCTCTGGCTGACTCATCAAGTGATCTGGCATACTCAGCTTAAAGCTTAAAACCTTGATTTCAATATAACTGGAAACGAATGTAAAAATGCAATTTGTTATTGTTTACGCCTATTTTGCATCAATTGCGATTTTGTAATCAACAATTCTCACCTGGACACTCTTTACCACATACAATATAAGATGTTGTTAAGTACCCGCCAAAAATACAGCGTAGCTAGGCGATTCGTAAATATTTTCGTTTCGTATGCAATGAAATTATTTTCTAAAAAAAAACGAGAAACCCAAAAAAAATGTGTTTGTTTTACCAGACAGTCTCGTATTTTTTTCTGCGTATTTTGCTAAAGCCAATTGACGTATGGTAACAGCTGATCGGCGAACTGGGAGGAAACGAAAGCTAGTTACAGGGTGATCAAGCAGGTGAACATTTATCTAAAAGGGTGTATTAGGGTGTATGAAGGTAAACATATGAGTAATTTTACAAAACGGAAATAAGGAGTACCAGTACTACCCATGAACCAAAATCGTTGGTTCATGAGTACTACCCTTGTTTAAATGACGTAAAACGATATTTTTACATTATACAAAATCAGTTCTATGTCGTTCCACGACAGTTGGGTCTACCCCTGCAAAAATGGCGAATACTCCATGCATGCATGTAAGGAGTACTCCCGAAGGACCAAGGAGTACTCCAAAATTAACCACAATTCATATAAAAAATATGGTCCAATTAACATTGCGATGTCCTAGGGCAGGACCATATACTCCATCTCTGCATTACATCAGAGTAGCACAAAACTACTCCCAACATACTCCAATGACATTGTCATTATATTTTTTCGTTTGTACGCGCTTTTGTTCTTCACTTCGCATATGCTTTTTTTTTTTAATTAATAAAAACCAAAGACAAAAATTAAAAATTAAATGTTGCCTCTGACGACATTCGAACCCGAACATGCTGGGAGCTAAGAACTAACAGCTAGCATCTCTACACGTTCAGCTACAGCCAGACATGCAAATGTACTTTCAAATGCTTAACTTTAATCACATTTCGTTAAAACACGAGCAGTGATCGGGTAACAAACAATAAGCTGGCGCAGAGACACGAGTTGGTCCGCTGCAGCATGACAGAGGAGCACTTTTGTAAGTACTCCAATATACCAAAAATAGACTACATGGTCCAACGATTTTTGCAGGGACGTAACCCGAAGGACCTGCATCTACATATATCTCCGGCTGATTCCCAAAAAGCCCTTTGGGGAATTTTCAAGGTCTTGCAACAACGAATTCCATGTTGGTTAATACTCAAAACAAGTAACCTAGTGTTCCTCTACGACGGAAAAGCTTATATATATATATTAAACTTGTATTATTTTATTTTATTTTAGTTATTCGAGCCTTTGTACTTTTTTACAGCAAAGTGAGGAGTGATTTTATCAATGATCTAACTTGCCTTTTCAAAACATTGCACACCGACCCTAGCATTTTGGGCAGTATTACTTTTCTCCTATTCTTTGTACAAAGCATAATAGCAAAACAACAACAAAAATAAACACGAATGTCAACGAAATACAAGTGAAAAATTGAAAACAAATCACGCGAGAATAACAAAAATGTGAAAGGCGAGAAAAACAAGAAGGCAACAAATGCAATAACAACACGCCTGTCATACGACCAAAAATTAGTATTTCTTGAGGGCGAGATTAGCTCTGCAACTCATTCAACAATAGAAATTCAAAGTGATAAGTTCAGTGAAATAAAAACAAAAGGCTACAATCATAAAACACACTACTAAATTAACTTTTACAAATACAAGCAGTTACAAGAAAATAGAAAATATTCAAAACAAAATGAAAATGGCAGGCAAATGAAGTGAATAGATAAAAACTTATTGGGAGTTCCCAGTACTCGAATTAAGTGGAAACAACTAGAAAATACGCAATAGCAGTTCGGACTTAAGAGCTTCTTTTAGTGAAATAAATAAGAAAAACTGTTGCATAAAAAATAAGTGATTTGCTGTGCGTTTAAAAACAGTTTAAAAGTTACGTTTATTTGAGCGCAGATATTTTTAAAAAAGCACATCATCTTGAAGAAAAAATTAGAACTAAGGAACTACATAGCGGGCGCTGACGTGTTCGCCATTGCTTCGCTGCCCGCTACACGCCGCACCCACGACAAAGGTGTCGTCATCCAACTGGTAAAAGTGTGATAGCTGCCGCATAAGTGAGAACAAGCATACCAATTTGAACTGTATAGTATTGAAAATCAGCAGATTTTAACGCGAGCACTGCTGAAGATAGAAGCACATATTTATTTACCTTCGCATTAATTTAATAAAAAATAATTAATACATAGCAGAATAATTAAAAATATTTAATTGAAGAAAAAAGACTAACGTAAGCACATACACACATAAATATACAAACATATATACGGGAGTTATCGGTAAATATGTCAAAAGTATCACTAGACGGTTTTACAAATACATTGAGGCGTTACCCAAAGACTTTGGGCGGAGTTGGTGTTCTAACGACGTGAGTATAAACTGAAAAATAATTATAACTTTTTAATGCGTAGCTTATATTACATACATAATGTATAATTCAATTGGTCAGCCTGTATGTATGTACATATGTATGTATAATAGACTACCTGCATATCTTAAATTATTGAGTGCTTAAACATAGGTTAGTTCACTAATGATGAGCAGGCATCCTTCAAAAAACCTGTAAGAAAAGATAGAAGTTTGTTTGCTAATTAGAAATGTGAAATATTAGTCAGCGAATTAAATGTTATCAATACATATTCCTGGTATAAAAATTATATATAATATATTTTGAAAAATAGTATTTCTCACTAAAGAACTGTTTCTTAATGTCCGTTGATATCTGCTATATGTACATACATATACAAATTTTAACTTGCAGAAATGTACTCATTTACATTTTGTATAGAGTAAAGCCGGCGTATTTGAACCAAAACCGATTTTGTTTGCAAAAACTCAAACGCCATTACATTCTTAAAAATGTACAACATGTGTATTTCCGTGTAAAAAAAATTCGATGAGCCATCACTAAAAAAACTATATGTTTAAATTACCGCCCTATTAATCATCAAAAAATATCATCCGATAATTTGACGCACACTGCCGAGAATAGGTGTGTAAAACTTTCGCAGTATGCTATGTAAAGTATATATAGTATATGTATATGCATATATGTAACATTTTTGTACACAATGTTTATACATATGTACATATGTGCGGACATCCATGTTAAAGCACAGGCAACATTAAATAAGAAAAACAAGTTTTTAGGAGGCTCGTCAGACAACCACATAAATACATTTGTTTTTGTTTCTCACTGTAATTACAAGAACACACCCCCTTTGATTCTACGTAATGAATATACATATGTAAGTATTTTTATTAGATAATTTAATTGTGCGCACTCGTGCAAATAAATTAAAAACAAGTTTGTTGTTCGCACACCATCTTCAAAATAAAAATTTGTGGTTGGTACGGATTCAATGCAATTAACAAAAAAACAGTTATAACAGTAGTTTTATAATTTGAAAATATAATCATGAAGAAAAAAATATTTACATTAATTGGAGATAAACGCTATAAATTGATTTAGGCGAAAAAATCGACCAAGTTGTGCCCCTTTTAAAGATGGTTTGCGATATGTACATTTGCATATGGAAATACATATGTAGAGTAAATATGTGGGTGACATGAATTTAGCGCTTCCGTATTTTCGGTGCTACACTTCTTCGTTCACTCTCTCTGTTCTACATTAACAGCAGCTAATTTGATCGTATGATCCGCCACGATAGCGAATAAATTTATATATACAAATTTGTATCTACATGTACATACATATATTTAAAAATAGATAAGTGATGCAAGGGATGATATAGCGCGCATCTCAACTCCCTACATATGTACATATGTATGTACATACTTGCATTAATTTATTACGTCAACTTCTTATTGTTGTATTTTTTTGCAATTGCACCGGTGCATATGGTATATGTAAATAAACTTGTTTACATTTAATTTGGAAAGTCAACTTACCATGTACATATGTATGTAGATAAACACCTCAAAGAATGCCATAATGACAACATCGCTGGTATAAACAAAAACAAATCGCTCATACGTTCTTAGAAGTGGTGATAAATAATAGTTTATTGCGTCCATATTTGCTAAGTAGAAGTGTGCTGCGCATTTGGAAATACGCAAAATGTATTTTCGCTTATAAACAGGCAGAAGAAAACAATAACATCAGCGACGTTGGAAAACAAAAATAAAGCACTTTGTAATAGCATATCTACTAATTCAACAACAGTTGGTACCAGTTGGTACTATAAACTAGTGGACGCTGTCCAAATTCATTAAATGGTGGTTCGCCAACCATTTCCCCCCAACTGAATGCAGCTCACATGTATGTGCGTGTGGTTTGTAGTTATCCTCCCCCTCCCCCCACACGGCATAAGCATACAAAGCAAAAATAACAATGAAGTCAACGAATCATAATAACAAAATAAACGTGTCTAAAAACACGCGATTTTGTTAAAACGAGACAAAACTAACCAAGTTGTTGATTCGGTGGTACATATCGTGTCATACCATTGGCGCGTCCACTTTGGGTTAGCTTGTTTATCATTGAAAAAATTCACGTTAGAGGGCACACATATAGTAGATACATACTTACATACATGCCTGCCAAGTTATGTGCATAAATATGTACATATATGTATGTGTACGTATAAATTTTATTGCTAAAAAATAAACTAACTTGGGGAAACTAGCCAAAATGTATACCAAACGAATAATAAAAAACAATTAGTATTAGGATCAGACGAGGTCGAGAATTTTGAAAGTGTTGAGCCATGTACATAAAATATATATTTTAGTGCACATACATACGAACGCGGTGAGATACGTCATTTATTATAGTAGCTGAAAGTATAAGTAAGAAATATCACACGATTTCGCAATCAACACGTGTGACAGTTAATCTAGAAAAACAAAAAACGAATACAAAAAGGTACTTATATTAAAATAGCCCTTCTAATAAGAAGCTATTATTAAATAGAGATAAACGCTCTCATTATTAAAGCCTGAAAAAAAATTAAACATATGTACATAATATGTATGTATTTCTTAAAAAATGTTTTATTTATAAGAGTTTTTTTTAAACTATTTTGTATTTTATGTATGAAGTTCGACTAATCAATAGAAGCTAGTAAAATAAATGGGTTTAAGAGTAAAAATGAATACTTTCAAAAATTCAATTTTAATTGTATCTGTAATTTTTTTCAGTTGCGGTTTAATTTTACTTGAAAAACAAAGGATTCGAAAATATCTATCAAAATGGGTAGATACTGCACCGACAGACACCGATAAAAAGCGCCCAGATTACATATACATTAAATATCATATTTATAAGGAGTCTATGCGCAAATTGAAGCAAAAAGAAGAGGAAAATAAGGTATATGATTTTAGAAAAAAAAACTTAAGTAAAACATAGCGCCTTTTAAAAATTGTTTAGGCAAAAAAAAAAATATTTTGTTCCAAATCTTGTATCCTTATGTTCCCTAATGCATAATCAATATAATCTCTTTAAATTTCAGAAATGGGTGAGCGTCATTATTAATCCCATTGGCAAGTGGTGGAAAGCCGTTAAACATTCGGTAGCATGGCGCTTACTGAAAATCGCACAAACTGGTTCACAACATGAACGCCTCAAGGCAGTTCGTCAATTGGCTTGTATCGATCACTTGAAAGATTGGGACTTTCGACATTTAGCACAAATTTGTGATGCACGCACAGCAGTTTCGCTGGCGCGCTCTGGCGCTGACTCTCGTTGGTTCGTGCCAGTTCATATGCGCGGCTGTATTAAGAATCCCAAACTGGTGCTAGCTGATTTCCACGATATGTTGGCACGCCTACGTCCAAATTCTTGCGTCGATAACTTTTTCAACAAATACTTTCCACAACAGTATCCACACGAGGGCATCGACGAATTCTATACGCAAGAGCAAGCTAGCTCGCTATCTGTGCAGGACACAGATATGTTGAAGGAGGTAATTTCTTTCTTGCATCACATCACCAAGGAGGAGGCGGTTGCTAAACAGATCATTAACGAAGGTGGCCTTACACATATCATGGAATTGCGTAAAATTTTTGCCGATGACAATGAAACGCTTTCGACACTATGCAAAGTATTGGCGAATGTGTCGCTGGTGGAGAATAGTGTGGAGCACTTCTTCGCTTCGGGCTGGATTGGTGTTTTGGCAGATTGGATGAAATGTCCCGATTTGCGTTTACAAGTGATCTCAGCGAAAACTATGGCTAATTTGGATCACGATGACCCCAATCATGTGCAATATCCACCCAATGTGTATCCATTACATCCACGTTTGCGTACGCGCGCTAAACCCAAGGCTGATATAATATTCATACACGGCTTGTTGGGTGGCGTTTTCATTACGTGGCGTCAGAAAGACCGCAATCCCATAGAATTGGGTTTGTATGGCAAGAATGCTTTTTACACTAGCGAAACGGATGATGTGTTTTTGATTGGCGAACAAAGACGTACGAATGGAAAAATTTTGAAAAATTCAAACAACGCGGGTAATAATGGCACAAACAATGTTGTGAAAACGGAACAACCAACTGGTAAGTGCAATTATTTGCTTGCATGCCGAAAAAAAAAATTATATAATTTACTCTACAGATCCAATATTGAAAGCTGCGCAAAAGACTAAAAACAAAATGCTGGAGATTAGCGATGCTGCGACAATGGAACTTGTGGAGACGTTGCAAAATACTGCCGAATTAGAATCAGATTGGGAGGTTGTGCATCCAGATGTGCCACTTAAGGCAGGCGAGGAATGTTGCGGAGAATTCAGCGTGCCGGGAAATGAATGGCAGAATCAAGATAACATTGAAGACTACACAAACTGTTGGCCAATGGAGTGGCTGCCGGATGATTATCCAAATACAAGGTAGTTAACTAATACTCCACAGCTAAAGAAATTGGTCAGTCAATAGTTTCTCATTTCTTTAGAATCATCGGCATCGATTACACTTCTGCGGTCACTGAATGGTCTGCCAATTTCACAAAGTACTGTCCCTGCGAAAAGGGTCAGGGGCAAATCGACGTTCGTGCCACATCACTTCTCGAACGTCTCTCGAAATCTGATGTGGGCAATGAGAGACCTGTTGTTTGGATCGGTCATTCCATGGGCGGCATACTCACCAAGCTTATGCTTATGAAGGCCATAGATGATCCTGATCCAAAAGTAAAGCAAATAGCCAACAGCACGTCGTCCATACTCTTCCTTGGCACACCGCATCGCGGCTCTTCGATTGTCAAGTGGAAACAGCACTTGCAAATGATTATCTCCCCCTCCATTGAAGTGAAAGAAATGGAGGAAGGAGCACCGAAATTGCTAGCAGCGCACAATCGTTTCATGGCGTGTTTACACACATGCTTTCGTAACGTTAAGATTGTGACCATCGCCGAAGGTGCACCCACCATGCTGACAACATTCAAATTCCCGCTGCGCATTGTAACTGAGGACTCGGCGCGCATTGATTACGGTGACTTTTATGTACTCAAAGATGATCATCTTAGCCTATCGAAGCCAATTTTCCGCCAATCATTCCTATATCAACGTGTTCTTAAAGTGATTGAAGACTCAGTGAATAGAGATGAGAGTCCAGTTGAGAAAGTTACGCTACCTGGCACAAAATTCAAAATAGAAGCAGTTAAAGTACCGCCGACTAGGGCTTCGGACTCAGGCGCAGAGAGTTTATTGCAGAAAGTGCGTGGAATTTTCTCGACAGTGCCACAAATAACAATCAATTTTCCCAACGCTCAATGCGAACAGTCTAGGCGCGAGTAAGTCGAGCGACATTTTTTTATTGCTTGTTTTGACTGGCTACTGACTGCTATTGCAACAGAATTCATCCCACTAAGTTATTTCATAGCACATCTTGTAAAAAAAATTCCTGTACTTAAATTCATATGCCAACTCATCTTAAAATATTTGCATACCCATGTTTTATAAGACGTGACAAAAATTGTATCGTAATATATTAGTAAGTAAGTTTGTACATGAGCTTTTTGGCTTCGCAGAAATGCTATTTACAAAATTCATAGTCGCTTTAGTTCCTCAGTAATGTATTGTAATCAATAAGAGCTTATGAGGTTAAGCATTTAAGAAAATTCGCTCAAATAAAGCTATGAAAATGCTTGTAAATGTTAAACATATTAAATAATATTGTAAGGTCAACACAAAGTAATGAATTGCTATGATTTGTATTGAAATCCAATAAAAATGACTTTTAAAAAATCCTTGACATAGAAGAAAGTTATTGAATTGCAAATGTGGGAAAATATATAACGATCGCTATATGTATACATAAATATACATATTCAACTACATTCTAAAACTTACATCATTCTAATGTTATGTTATGTTTCCTCTTCAATCGCCGTGATTCCGCTAGCAGCTCCACTTTCCTGCTGCTGTTGCAATCGCTCCTTTTTTGCTTGCAAACGTTCCAATGCAATTCGCCTATTTTCAGCTATTCGCGCCATTTGCTCTGCTGTCAATTTAGGCACCGGTGCGGGCGATGCAGGCTGTGAAGGTGGCAGTGGTCGCGCCAAATCACTGTCATTTAGTTTATTTCCCAACTTTCCCCCGTGCGTGTATGGTGTGGAAATAACCGCATTACCTCGATTAAATGAAGGTGTTGCCAATGTACTACTGCTGCTGGCGCCGGTGAATGTAGCATTAACACCGTCACCCCCTTCGCTGCTATAATGAGAAGGCGTACGAGGTGCCAGCTTAGAAATGGCAATTTGTTCACCCAACAGTGCATCAAATTCGTCGAATGGTTCATCTACTGGTTCGGCATCTGCAGCAGCATCATCTTCATCTTCATGCATTTGATCTCCAGTCGCTTTCAAGTGGTCCAACATACCAAGCCGATAGCGTGACATATGCACTTGTAGCGACTTTTTCTTGCCAATACGCTCTATATTCGTTAAGACATCGTCGAATGTGTAGTTTGGGTACATACGATGTGCCCAATGTGTCATACGCCGCATCACCTCGTCAAGATCGCGCTTCTCGTGACCCTTTCCCTTGAACTGTATATCCTTGAAATAATCCTCGATGGTGTGTATGCCACGTGTGCCGCTCAATACGTCAAGTGATAATTTAGGACGTGGATTCCGCACTGTGCGTTTTTTTGGTTCCACCTTTACGCCTTGCTGTTCACCTTCCTCAGCTTCAGCGTTTCCAGCAACTTCACCATCAGCGCCAAAAAGTTCTTCCATACCCATTTCGTTACGCCCATTCTCTTCGTCGCTGGGTAAATCATGTAAATTACCACTGAGTATGTCGTCGACAACATCGCCACCGTACATGGAGGACATATTAGCAATAATTTATTAATAATTCAATATTTATAAAACATGAAATATGTAAATAAAAGCCCTCAAAATTTACAAAACGCGCCAATAACAACAACCGGCTGATTCCACCTTATACGAATTCGGCTCGGGCGAAATAACGGAATTGAATAAAATTCACCACTTGGCTTTTGTTGAATTTACAGAGACACCCCGGTGTTGCAAAAATACAAAGATTTATATAGGGAGGCCCTAAATTGACGTTCTTTGGCTCAGCCAAAAAAGGTGGCCGAAGCAAAGTTTGTCAAATTTTAGATTTGCGTTATTTGTACATAACCAAACGATATAAATTTTAATCTACAATTACAAATTTTGACAGCTTTAATTCGTAATTGCCGTCTGATACAAGGCGTGTCAACCACAATATAACCAGTAAACAACCCAATAAACACCAAAAAAATATTTCTCCAGCCATGGAGACATTCATAGTTCTCAAGTTGATATCCAACATCATTTTCCAACTCATCTCTAACCCACGCGCAGATACGTAAAAAGTGATTGAGATACAAATTTTTAATTATCAAGTGAAAAACTAAAGCTATATAGAGGGGAAAACTACCAACGAAAAGTAAATAATATTTAAAGTATCCTCAAATATTCTTGAAAGAAAATAAAACGCGAAGTGAATCAAGTGTCATAATTACTGTCGGACTGTATACTGTGAAGTAAATTATTGTAATACGATATTGATTAACTACATAATACAAAAGGAATAATAAAATGAAAAATTAATATTTAAATTCATCTATATATGTCGTTCAATCAAAAAGATATAAGGTATTTTACTATTTCAATTTCAGTATTTCAGTGAAATGTTTGAGACCAATTGGAGAATTACATTAGAGTTCAAGTTGAGAACTAGCATTTTCTCAACTTGAGAAAGAGGCCTTTTTTCATACAAAGAAAAATGCCCTTTTTGTTGAGAACGCTATGATTCTCCACTTGAGGTACTGTTGAGAAACAACGTTGGAGATTTGAGAAATACCTTAGTTCTCAACTTAACCTCAAGTTGAGCTCAAACCTAAATGTTTATTGGGATAATTGAATTTTTTTATTTTTTCTCAGTATACACATTTTGTTCTCTGAGAAAGGTATTATATCTTATTTTATTTCAGTTCATTGCGAATATACTATAAAAAAGCAAATTTTGTTTAGAAGAAAATACGAAATTTAATTCTACCCCCAAATGGAAATTCATTTTTTCCCATTTTTCTTCTTATTCTACTGAGCTAAGGCAGTGTCAAATCGAGCTGTCACAACTGATACCACCTAGTATTATTGCATCATTATCAACTACAAGTGCTAGCGATAGAAGCCATGCTTCTTCTTATGAGCACGCTGGTGTCAAATTGTCGCCTGTTTTGCTTTGTTTACATATCCGCGTATACATACACATATACGTAAATATATATACCCTACAAACAAATGCTCCCGAAATCTTTAAGAGTATTGGAAATTTGTTACGATTTTTTTAGGAATCTTTAAAGGAACACTTTTGAAGCGGTTGACAAGAACTAGTAAAATATTTCGGTACGATTTCTTAATGAAAATTCTTAACAAAATTGTGAAACCTTTCAGAATACTCTGAAATCCTGGTATGCAGGGTATAAATATACATACGAATATGAATAGATAAAGAAGCTGTTGTTGACACAAGGAGTTCATACCAACGGTAAATGTAGGTTTTGTACGATTTCTACAACGGACTGGGTTCACACCATGAACCAAAAAGACAAGATCACGCGGGCAGGAGGGTAGCCCGTTAGAATCGCATTAAGGAAAAAAGTTCAACGATTTTGACATTAGCCGTTTGTTTACATTTCTTCGTTGTTTACAATTTGGTGGTGGCTTTTTACTGCAATTTTCTTCATTTTCGCTTGTGACAACGTGTGTACACATAAGAAAAAGAATAATTTAACACAACGGCATGATTTTTAGAAGAATTTGCATAATAAAAATGATTTTTCATGCGTTCAACAATTTCGCGGTTTTCTCCGTTCTCTTCCACGATCCAGAAAATAAAGGTCGCGCCATTCGCGGACCGCTAACCCTCTCTTCGTCGATTTGACAGCATCCACCCAATCGCTGACGTCATAAAATACTTTTGTTTACATTCACTGTTGCCAACTT